TCCCATTCCTAAACAAACTGAAAACCCCAACCAGGCTTACTGCAACAAAGAGCGAGCCTTTTCCCTGCTGTTTATTTTTATTTTGTATTCGTTAGCTTTTGAGATATTCCTGGCATGCAAGTCAGGCTCCGTGTAACAAGCAGCTGCATTTAGTTAAAGATTTTCGAAGCAGTCCCCTCCCCCTTCCCCCTTCAACGCCCATAGAATGTTCTCAGCACCCTCGAAGACTGTTCCTTTCTCCCCATGCAGAGGAGACCTGTCTCCCCTGTCACAGCTCAGGGAGTCAGCGAAGCCAAGCCCAGACCTTTCTGTTGGAAGAGTCAAGCTTTTACCCGCTACAGCTGGACCTGACTGGATCTGCTCCTCACCAGGACCCTTAGCTGGCAGTCAGTTCTCCTTCTAGATAGCACTCTAATAAATCAGCCCTCCTCCGCCTCCATCCCTGGTAATGGACCAAAATGCAAATGCACACATACTCCATCAAAAGACATCTCATCGCTGGCTGGAAGGAACTGCCAGACACGCTCCTCAAACCGCATCAAAGTGACACTACCACACTGCAAAGAAAAAAAAAAAAAAAGCGTAATTCTTTTAGACCAGAAGGCCCTGACCGTCCACAGCACGTTCCGTTTGTGTCTAAGGCAACAGCAAGGCTGTTGCAGGAAGTCAGGCAATGTAGAGCTGCAGAAATGGTGGAATTGACTATCTCCCATCACCTCTTATACCCTCTAGGTCATGGCAAAGAAAATATCTTTCCAATACCCTTAAAAACCTAAAGAAGCACCACCTCTGGCCCACACATTAAAAGAAGGCAAGTATAAGAACTAAACCAGAATGGATCCTGTAGGACAGAGGTCAGGTATGAGAACACCAACCCACAGGGTTTGCAAACCCAGCAAAGCCGTTCCCTGGCCATGTGACCTTGAGAAAGCAGTTTTAACAACTCTGAGCCTAACCTGACCCATCCGTACAAAGAGCTATTACACCATCACCTTTGCAGGGCCGCTTTGAGAGGTCTGTGAGTTAATACTAACAAAGGCTTAAAACAGGGACTAACCCATTAAACAGATTGCACCAAGTGTCTATTAAATAAGGTACAGGAAGAGGAGCATCTCAGAAAGCTTGGGCTCGAGAGATGCAGACTTAGCTGAGATCTCAAGACTTTAAACTGTTCATCAGCTTCCTCCAGGCCCAATTACCAGCCCAGCTAGCAGGAGGGAACATGGGGCAGGAGAGAAGCTCCACAGAGTTGCTGGCCCCTAGCTGCGGCCAAGAACCCACCCTCAACACTCTACTTTAAATCAACCATAGCAGGCATCTCGGTGCCTTGGCATCGCCCCTTTGCTGCAAGTCAGTGGCCCCTATTTTCCCCGTGTTGCCGTTTCTTGGAAAATCTGATTAGTATAAGCCTATGTCTATCAACAGACATGTGAAATTTTGTATATTGTTTCTGGAGGGTTGAACATCTTGAATTTCCTATATCCTTAGTTAATTTCTAGGCCAGGGGCTCTTCTCTAGTGCTTTACATCCATGGCTTCACTTAAATCTTATTAAACACTTATACGGCTTAGGGAAACCAATCACCCTGCCCATGATATGAAAGGGACGATTCGAACCCAGCTCTGTCCTATGTAAAAGTCTGACTTACAGCCATTAAACTTGGCTATTGGGTTTCTCTGATACTACTCTTTGTACCCTTTGTGAGAGATCAAAAGGTGTAATCTCTGATTATTGGGCTGTGTTTTTATCTAAGCAAAGGAAATAACAGTACATTTTTACACATAACCAAAAAGGTTCTCTCTCCTCCGCTCACTCAGTAAAACTGTGGTCCCCTAAATATGTTTGCAATTGTACACAGTCTCTGTCACTACAAATAGATATTTATATCAGTGTACACTGGATTTAAAAGTATCGGTTCTCCATAATATGCTGTAAACCTTTTTAAAAATATATCTGAAGTGGTATACCTTGGCAAAATGTTCTTTTGATATAAGCAGCATACATCTAGAAACATTTTAAGAGTCTAATTCGGAGCCCACTTTCACACGCACGAGACAGAAAATAATAGGTCAGAACTGAGTTTTTGAAAGAACTCTTGGTCTTGGGAGATGACTCAGTGTCTGCCGCACAAACACAAGGACACGACCCTCACGTGAAAGCTGGCCATGCACATGTAACGCCGGGCACAGACAAGCAAATTCCCAGAGCTCAGGGACCATCCAGCCCGGCTGGAGAGACGACTTCCAGTTGAGTGAGAGATCATGTCTCAAAAAACAAGGTGGAGATCAACTAACGATGCTCCACACTGACCTCTGGCTTCATAGGGATACCCACAGGCCCGTGCACGAGCACACTCCCACAAAAACACAAACATGGACCCCCCCCTAGCACCGCACGCTCACGTACAAAGGTAAAATAAAATAACTCCTACGTGGCAGGTGTTAGAAGAGCAAAGCAGCCTACTATATTTTCCAATAAAGTAAAGCATTAATAGATAAGCCCTACCAGAGGCAATCTACCTGTCCTTCCTCTGAGTAGTGGCCCCTAGCCGTAGAGATAGGATTTTTTCAAGCATCGCTAATAAAAGTTGAGGCTGACTGATGTGGGCCCTCATGTGGGCAAAGGATGTGGGCAAAGATGACAGGCCCACAGCCCTTAGGAGACTCCCATTCTAAATGAAGCAGGGACAGACACCTACTGACATGGCAATTGGAGACTTTTTAGAAAATGAGTCTTGGGACACACACCACCACTCCCACCCCCACCCCCACCGCCACCCCCCAGACTTCCAGCAGCCAAACCACAGAGAGAGCACAATTCTGAGAAAGGCACAGGAGGGTTCCAATGGCCTGGAGCTCTTGGGGAGCAGGAAGGAGTGTTTATGTCTGCTACAGAAGTTCAGCTTTGGGCAGGTAGGAGGTAGCTAGGAGGAGCAACAACTAGAAACTATGCATATAAAGGCTTTCTCCTCCCTGCCAATGAAATAGGAACTCGATGGGAGAAGCAGAGAGCCACTGTTTTGGTTTTACAACTTAAAAAGGAAAAGAATATCTCCCCTCAAGCTGGCATCCTGAGCCCCTGACAGGGTTACCTTAAGAACCTCAGGGCAGAACAGAGGTCAGGACTTCACCAAAATGGAAAAGGATTTAAAAGCTGGTAAGACTGCACCAGGTTTGAGCCCGTTATTAGGATATAGGATAGGAATGGGCAAATTAATTTCCTAACTTTTGAAAGACCACAGCTAGTGGGAAGGGATTTGGGAGTAGCTACTGATAACACTATTGTTTTACACTCACAAATTCACTGTGCGTGTGGCTATTTGGGAAGAGATTAACAACGACGACAACAAAAAGGTGAACATCCGTTCATCCCTACCTCACCCCATCCCCACCAGCGCAGGCTGTGACCTAAAAAGCACTGGCTGTGGAAAAGTTAAACACAAAGTAAAGGATCCCAAGGGAACGACGGAATTAATCAGGGCTCCGAGCCAGGAATCCAGCCTTCGGTACAATCACCCCAACCGCACTGGACCACGGACTTGAGGAGAATGTTTACATCGGGTCGGCAGCGCGGCCCATTTTCCACATTTCCAGGTGTAGTGGCAAAGAGCCAGATGTTTAGCATCACCAAGCAAAACCTCCATGAGACCAAACTGTTTACATTTCATTAGGGTTTTCCCTTAAGACGGGGCACCCCTGCTGTCGTGCGTCTTAATGGCAATTAGAAACTGTATTCACCACCGCCACCGCCACCGCCCCCCCCCCCCGCCCCCACGGGGCTTCTAGATTAGCGCAACCACACTTCAAAAACTCTGCTCAGTCAGGGCTGTTCCCGTTCCAAAGGCATCTGCAGGAGATCAAACTCCGCACCCAGGTTCCTCTGCAACGAGAAAGTCACCCCTAACTCTTAGCAGGAACGAATTCAGCAGTTACTCCGTGAATCCATCTCTCTCCCCAGCTGTTAAGCAAACTAGACTCTTCTCTACCCGGCCGAGAGATGAATGATAATAGAAGAGGCACCTATTTATCAACAGAGCCTTGGGGCTGGAAGCGGGGCGGGGGGGGGGGGGGGGGGGGGGGAGTACAGGGGCTCCAACACTCCCTCAAGGGATGCATGTTAAAAGTGAGGCCCGAGACTCCACAGACTTTAATCAACTTTCCCCCTCCAACCTCCAAAGAATGAATCGGTTGTCTCTGCAGGCACAGGGGGCTCTTCCCTCTCATTGTGTCCCGGCTCAGACCCAGCGAGGATCCCAGCTTCCCGCAGGGAACTGAGCCGCTCCGGCTGCCGGTGGAGGCTTTCTCTTAACTGTTGCGATTGTCTCTGGAGATGACCCAGATCAAATATGCATTAGAAGGCTCCCCCTTCTTCCGCCTCGAAACTCACACACACACACACACACACACACACACACACACACACACGTGCACGCACACCCGGAGAGCACTTCGGAGGCAGCAGGCCGCCTCTGATTGCATACTTTACGCAAAGTGGCAGCGGCGGAGCAAACTTTTTGGCCTGCGTGATGACCCTCGGGAGGGCAAGGGCGGGAGGTTCCGAACACCAAGCGCTGGGGATGCGAGGCCCGGGGAGCCCCCCCCCTCCGGAACCCCGGGCTTTTGTCTGCACGGGTTCGCGGACGGCTTGAGATCCACTGAAAACGCAAACTCCCCCCCGCCCCACCCCCCCCCCCCCCCCCCCCTCCGGGACAGAGAAGACAAACTGGACCCCGACTGGAGGGCGCTAGGAATCCAGAGAGAGGCAAAGGACCAGCATCACCCCCAAGACGCCCCCCTCCCCGCCCAACCCCATCTACACTTCCTGTCAGCACTGACAACCGCAGCTGGATGCCGAGGACCAGCCCCCCAGAACACCCCCAAGTCCGCAGCCGCTGGCCTCCTGGCGGCGGCCGAGTGCCCTGCTCCGGGCCGGGGGAGGCGCCTGGCCGGCAGCCGGCCCTGCGGGACGGGCGGTGGGAGCGGGGCGCGGGCTCCGCTTACCTTGCGCAGCGGCCCCGCGCGCGGCCAGCAGCAGCAGCAGCAGCGGCAGCGGCGGCGGTGCCGGGCGCGTCCCGCGGCGGCGCGGCCGGTGCATTCCTCCTCTCGTGGCTGTGCCGGCGGCTCCCTGGCGGCGCGCAGAACATCCACGGGGTCGCCCCGGGGCTCCCGGCCACCTCGTCCCGCCCGCAGGCGCTGGCGGGACACCGGGGGGGACCTCTGCAGAGCTCTTTGTCCAAACTCTGACCCTGCTCCCTCGCCTCCGCCCCGGCCGCCCCGGACCCTGGAGCGCGGCTCCTCCCGGTCCTCCGCAGCAGCCCCTGCCTCGGCCGGCCGCTCCGTCCCAGGCTTGTCTCCTGGGTCGCTCAGGCGCACTGTGTGGCTCCGGCTCCGACACCAGAAGAGCGTGCCCGGTGCCTGGGGCTGCGGTCTCGCGACTCACTCGGCGGCGGCTCCTCCAGCTCTCTCCCCGATTGCTCTTCTCGCCCAACTTGTCACTTTCCACCAACTCTACAGCCCAGCGCCCCTGCCCGGACCAATGGCAGAGGCGGGCCCAGGCCGGGGTCCCAGCGCCCTCTGCTGCCGCGTCCTGGAGCGGCACACTTCCCAGAAAACAGCCACTGCACCTCCTGCAAGCCCACCGTCCCTCCCTCCCCCACTCGCCGGGGACCAGCACCGATGTTGATGGGACCCTTGAGGCCTTTTAACAGAGAAGGACTTTGGGGAACTCCCAGCCCAAAGTGTGACTGGATGACTTAGGAAGCCCAGATTTTAACTGTCGTGCTCTGCCGCTGTTTAACCCTTGGCGGGGGAAACATGAACAGATATTATACAATGCCCCTTTGATTTCTTCCTTCCAAAGAGACGCTTAAGAGGGAGTCCGGATAGAAGAGACTGGTGTCTCTTTTGGTTTTCAATTTCTGGCCTCACTACATTCACATCAAGGTCATCTGATCTGTTTCTTTGGGGGACATTAAGGAAAGATTTCTCTGGGTCCTTTCTTGTCACTGTCTCCTGGTCTCCTAAAAGTTCTCTGCCTTCCGAAAACGAACACAAAGCGCTGTATGCGTTTGATCATTTGTGTGCTTGCTATTCCGTTTCTTTCCATAAGGTGTGTTTCTCTTGCTCCCCCTTGGCTAAGTGAGTCTGGAACCCCCAACTTTCGGGGTTCTTAGTCTTTCCTCCTGTTTTTGCCATTTGTCAGTTTTGTAATTCATAAACGCCCTCGGGGTTTTCCTGTAGAGAATGCCCTGGGCCAATATAAAGTTAGCACGCCCTGCATGCTAGACCCTGCCTTGAGTTAAAAGGATGCAAGAGTAATGAGGGACCCCTGTCCCCCAGAATACAAAGATGCCCAGAACCTCTCTGTGATCACCTGCCTCGTTCTAAAAGTACCTCCTGCTTGCCTGCTGCCTTACATGCACTGAGGCTTTTTAAAAGTCATCAAAACTGCTTGCTACTTTGCTTCATTAAATATATTACTCACCATTTTAGTTTTTAAAGTTGGTGTGCAGAAGGAAAGTGAATGACTTGTCCACCCGTTCCCAGGAGGAGGCTAAAAGATTTTAAGGCAAGTCTGGCATGGTATAAGCGCTCTGTAAATGGATATCTATTAAAACGGATATCTATTGCACTTGACTCTCGGGCTCAGCTTTAGGATTTTATAATGAGCTGCCACTTCACTGAGGATAAGAATTTTGTTTCGACTGTGTAAGTATCCTGGGTGCCTCAAACAACAGCCGGAAGATGATGAGTGTAAACAAGAATTAGACCACTATTTGGAGATTTTTTTTTTAATCTAATGAGTTCCTGTTTTATTTGTCCTATAGACTTCCCATGCTTCCTGGAAAGCAGTCTACGAGAAAGAAGCATGGGGAATAAGCAATGTATAACCCAGCAGGTCCCAGGCTCTAAATCTCCAGCCTGGTGCCTTCAGGCAGGTGAACAACTAGGCCCTGTGGGACAAATAATCACCTATTCTTTGCTAAGACTTGAGGGCAAGAGCCAGCCCAGCTGCCTTAATAGTTTTCCCTGTCTCTGTGAGTCTGACCCGAGGTCAGGGAATGATGGACAGAGGCCTTCGGGTCAACCAGCTTGTCCCCACAAATTGGTATGTCTTCCCAGTGTTTCTGCTTGAGACCACTCAGTCCTGCCTCAATTATCTCCAGCCACTCGCCTGGGGAACTTACTGCATAAGGTCCTCTTGTTGGGAAAGTGTCTTTGATGGTTGACTTCAGTATACTGTGACCCAGAAATCAAAGGAAACTCGGTTACCGTGCACAAGGCAGGTGGCCCTCCCTCTGCAAACGGAAGCTTTCCTGCCCTCTCAGCCTGCCCCCGCCCCCCATCAGACCAGGTATCTTCGGTAAGAGACAGCGGCCACTGCTGAGCATACAGAACTTAATGGCACTTTTATCAGTACTTAAACCTTCCAGGAACTTAATCACAGAAGCATGGACATGAGGAATGTGAGAGCTGGAAAAGGCCTTGGAAGTTAACTAGTACACCCTCCTAGGCATTTTTATATAAAAGAGCTGTGGCGCCCAGGGAGGTAAAAATTCCCTGCCCAAAGTCACAAAGCTGGCCAAAACCAAAACTGGGGGCCAGACCAAACCAGTCCAAGGCTGGACTCAAGCCCATATCAGTCTCTCTCTACTCTAAATGCTCCGGTCTCACATCCTGTGGCAGGTTAGGGGAAGGGCTGACAGCAATTGAAATGTCTCTCTTGAAGGCTTCTCTGGCCCTACCTTCACCTATGCCAGGCTGGTATCGGCACAGACAGATTAGAGAACACGGGTGAAGCTGATCCTCTCACTGGGTGCTCAGCTCAGGCTCTGAGATCCTGTAGGGGCTCCTGGCACACAGGGAAGCGCTCCTCTGCCCTGCCCTGCCCCCCTCCCCCAGCTTATATATAGCTCAGATTATCACCACTGAGGATACTCAAAATGGTAGCCACGAGCGGAGTCAGGTACTGCAGAAAGCACATTAAAAAAATAATTAAAAAAAAAAAAGCTATCTTCCATTTCCTGACATTGTTGAATAAGAGACCCTTGTAGGGAGTTGCCTTCATTTAGTCCAGGAATATAACACTGACTTCTCTTCTTAGACAAAGGGTGTGGCCAGAATGGCTGTAAATGCTGACCGGTTCTTCCAGCCACCACTCTAGCTGGACGGTGTGAATGTCAATCCTGCCTCTGCTCTTAATTGGCTTTGGGAACTTGGGGCCACAGCACTTCAGTTTCCTCATCAGCAAAGAAATATAGTAATGACTACCATCTAGCTGTGTTCTGAATTTAATAATTAATTTAAGAATTAGCTAATGTTTCCCAAAAGCTTGGCACAACACCTGTCATAGACTAAGCAGCCGCTGTGTACTAGCTGGCTTATTGCTGATTAAGAACACAGATTTAATTCATGACAGGCCAAGTTAGATGGCTGAACAAATTACTTAACTTCTTCATGATAGAATAGTCTCTTCCAGATAATAAAACCAATTGTACAAAGTAGTTTTAGCATAAATAATATTCATTATAAACCATTTTATTTTATTTTTAGATAGGATCTTGCTTTGTAGCCTCGGCTGAACTTATCATATAGACCAGGTTGGCCGTAAACTCGTGGAAATCCATCTGCCCCCAACTCCTGAGGTGCTGGGATTAAAGGCATGCACCACCATATTAGGATGCTGTATACAGTCTTAAGGTCTATTTACTCAACAAATTACTATTATTCTTTTATGCTAAAACTCCTACACTATGAGATAGAAAAAGTAGATTAATTTGGTCACCATACAACCTGACACAATCTTGCTTCGTATATTTTGATTCCCTATCCTTCTAAGTTCATTTGTACATGCCTTAGAAAAGAATTGTTATCAGTAACACATAAAGAAGAATCCAACGGCGTAGAAGGATGGCTCATAAGGTGAGTGCACTTACCGTGCAAACATGAAGACCTGGGTTTAAATCTTCAATACTCTTATAAAAAGCTGGAATTCCTGCTCAGCCTGTAACCCCAGCGTTGGGTGGGTGGGTGGGGTTAGGGGAGCAAGACAGATTCCCAAGAGCTTACTTGGCCAGCTAGCCTGGTTAAAACAGTGGGTCTCCTGTTCGGTGAGAGACCATTTTTAAAGCACGAAGGTGGGAAGCCATAAAGGAAGGCCTCTGACAGATGGCTCTGGCCTCCACGTGCACACACAGGGACATGTGCGCCACATGCGTGCAGAGCCAAACATGCCCTACATGCACACAACCCCCAGCACATGCTGAAGCAAACAAACAAACAAATATGGAATAAATCAAGGGCTGTAAGGGGATATTAATAAAGCTAGCACTGAGCCTGAACAGAGTGTGGTGCTTCCAAGGACAATGTAGGAGGAAGTCTGGGTAATCTTTTATTCACCACAAATTTCTTAATTAAAAAAAAAAAAAAAAAAAGCTCAGCTTTTAAAAAAAAATGGTTCAGTGGTTAAGGATGAACGCTTGCCTTTCTTTCTGAGGAATGGGGTTCCCAGCACCTACGTCAGTCAGCTCACAACCGACTGTGTGAATTTCCTCCTTTAAAATGGAGGAAATACTTGACAAATGCTTTACCAGAAAATATGTATGAATGGGAGAAAAAAAAAAAACATGAAAAGATGAACAACATTCACAAACAGGACAACACAGACTAAAACCATCAGTCACTACAACCCACAAGGAGAGGTAAGGTTAAAAAGGTGTGCCCTGCCCAGGTAAGGCTCCGCTCCGGGCTTTGGAGCAGCTTGGAACTTTCACTTATTGCTTATGGGAACGTTAAAATGGTACAGTCGCTTTAGAAAAAAAGGTTTTCAGTTAAAAGCACAATCTATACCTACCATGTGATCCAACCATCCCTATCCTAAATATTTATCCAAAGGAGATGAAAGGATATGCCCACAAAAAGACTTATACAGGAAAATTGATAGCAGCTTTATTTGTAATGGCCAAACGTTGGCAATGGTCCAAATGTCCATCATTAGGTAAATGAATAAGCTCTGGTATATCCATATAATCCAATACAGCTCAACAATAAAAAGTAATAAATTATTAACACACAATTAAATGTACACAATAAGTGTGCTGAGTGATTACTACATTTTAAATATATATACTATGTGGGTCTACTTATATAAAATTCTAGAAAACTAGTCTACAGGGATGGGGGAGGACAGAATGTTTACCTGGAGTCAGGGAAAGGGAAAGATGAATGGACATTAAGGCATTCACTATGTTCTTTGGGGTGATGGTTTCCTAAATGTGTATACGTATCAAAGCTCATGATAGAAGTTTGGGTCCAGTTGGGAGATACACCGATTAAAGAGAAGTTCAATGAAAAGAATTAGGGACTGTGATTTAAGGAAAAGAGAGACAGTAGCCAGCACATACGGTAATTATGTGTTATGGAAGGGCAGAGGGAGATCACTCCATGAATGGCAGATTGGGAAAGAGGTCAGA